ACATTCTCTCCCTCGGTACAGTGGCGAAACGTATTGTGTTGGAGATGGTAAATTGTGCTAGCACATTCGCGACCAGGTGAAAACTGATGCCAAGGAAACCATCAGGCTCGCAAAGTGTAAGCGGCCTGATTGGTTTGATGAGAACAATGCGACAATTGGAACAATGGCGTATGAGAAGAATGCAGCATTTGCTGCAGATGGCGCGGGCCCCAGTGACTTGGGGAAGAGTAGTCAGTTTTGAAAACTTCGACGGCGAATGACCCGAGAGCTCAGTCGCAATGAACATGCGTGATGTACGGAGAAGGTGAAGCAGATGGGATGCTACGCTAAACGCCGCCAACATAATGAATACTTTGACTCTTGAGGACGTTGTATGAACCGAGATTGTAGCCTCTGAGGACGCTGATCGATGGTAGTTCAGGCGCTACCTGCACACAGACTGCGGACATAATGCAGATCCTGAGAAAACACTTTAACTGTCTCTTGAACAACTGTTCAGAGATTGACTGGCCAACATTAAACTGCCTGAAGCAGCACGATGTGAAGACGAGTCTGGCGGACACGCCGACACTGGATGACACACAGACAGAAATTACTCAGCTGCGAAATGGCATGTTTGTCTGTTCGGACGGGATCCCACCTGAAATATTGAAACAAGGCGGGCCCGCGTTTTAACTGCGCTGCACCCCTTAGTGCAACATGTATGGATTGAGGAGGAGGTGCCTTCAGATTTTAAGGATGCGCTTGTGCTCCACTGTTAAAGGGCAAAGGAAGCAAGCAATGTTTCACGAATTACTGTGACATCAACTTGCTGAGTTGTGTGAGCAAGGTGGTTGCCCGAATACTGCTCAACCGCCTTGTCAGTCAGATTGTGGAACCTAAAGTGGAGGAAGATCAATGTAGATTCCGTTCGGGTCGCAGCACTATAGATATGGTGTTTGCGGCTCGTCAGTTGCAGGAGAAGGGCAAATAACTATACCGGCCATTGTACTCGCTTTACGTTGATTTCACCTAGGCACTTAATAAGGTAAACCGCGAGACATTGGGGCTGATTTTGGGTAAGTTTAATTGTCCGCGTAACTTTGTAAGTTTAGTTGTATGTATGCATATTGGTATGTCACGCAAGGATGCAGCTAAGTGGAGAGATTACGGACGATTTTGCCGTTTCTCTTAGCTTCTGTCCTGTTTAACATGTATCTTCATGCAATGATGTCTTGTAATTTGAGGCGGCTTGTGTTTATGTGTGTGTTTGTGTGGTGGGTTACTGAACATCCGTCGTTTCGGTGCGAGATCCTTAGTCTGTGAGAGGACTATCCGTATATTGCTCTTTGCTGACAACTCTGCGTTGTTTGCACACAGCGTGAATAAGTTGCAACACACGACTAATGCTCCAGCTACGAAAGCCGCCAAATTTGGACTCATCTTCAACACAAGCAAAATTGTCTGTCTCTTTCAGCCTTCACCGGAGCTGCAGTCTACAATGACGCCGCGAATCAGCATGGGACATGACGTATCGGAAACACCTCCCACTTCTGGCACCACGAAATCGTGATGTTGACTGACCAGTAGCTACACAGTGAGCCTAGTATAAGCGTTTCAGGAGTAGCACGGTATTCGAAACGCTAGAGTAGTGAGTGTTAAACAACCGTCATTTTACAGATGGCACTAAGCTTATGATGTACAAATACATGATTCTGTCCGTTCTATACGTAAACAAAAAGTGGACGAAGCACTGGCGGGATGTGCAATATCTCAAACCGTTAAATCAACAGTGTTGGCGACGAATTTTGAGCATCTGTAGGTGCGACAGAGTTGCAGACACGGTGATGTTACGCCGAAGTGGAAGGTATGCAGTGGACTGCATACTTTTGCTGACACTTGAGTTTACTCGGTCGTGAGTGACGCATGGATTCCATGCGGATACCGAAGCAGACCTTATACGATCAGCTGAGTTTGCGGAAGCGGCAAATGGGAAAACCCGAGCTTCGTTACTAAGACATAATCAAAGTAATCCTAAGACGTTCTAATCTGGAATGCAGTTCATGAGAATCGAAGGCGGTTGATCAGCGTGCATGGCGCGATCTGATCACGAAGGCGTTGTCCAGCTGCAGGAGAAGCCTTTACGTATGCGGAGAAGAAGCGACAAGTGCGGAAGCGGCAAGCACCGATGGATTGTACTCCATCGACATTGAGCGTATGGTGCTGTGGCACATACGGTCGCGAGTGCCTTAGTCAGGCAGACCTACAGAGCCATGAGCGGGGCCACTCGGGACCACCGCCGAAGCGACGATGTGTCATCCAGAGGACGTAGACAGAACCAGGAAAGCGTTTATAGGTACGCTGCGTTCGATTTACTAACCGTGTGCTTGCATAATAAGTCCTTTTATTTCAGTTGGTGGTTTTACAACTTTGTCCTAATGATTTTTCCTCTCATATAAATGTCTACCAGTGCTGTCTTATTTAAAAATGCACACGAAGCTTAAGCTAATTATAGTTAATTAAGATAACATTTTTTGCTTTTGTAGTATTCCATAAAATGTGTTCTGACATCTTGAACTTCTTGCTAATTCGTTCGGAATACATTTTTATACGCGTATTTAGTAAAGAGTTATGTCAACGTATCTGTTTGCATCACTGGATTTATTTTATTTCATTCCGTCGTTTCAAGTGATTGGCAGTTGCATGATTTCCCCGGTGTGGCTGCGCTTCATGTAAATGTTGACAAAGTGTCAACCTGTCCATCACCCACTACCTCGTCCATACTGGCTCTAGGCGACAGTTGCGCGTCGCAGGAGGGGACGGATTGCGCGGTCCTTGTGACCGCGTTAGGCTCGAAAAGTGATTCCATGCAGTCAGTTTGGAGCAGGCTATGGCACAGCCACTGCCTTGTGTACGATTTTTTCCGAAATACAGCGTACCTTTTTGCATATAAAGTAGCGTCGGTCGACTCCGTTGATGAAACGTGGTTCCCATCCACATGCGTCCGGTCTTATTCCTTCGGGTTTACACTGGATACGGGGTGTGTGAATGGCGCACAGGCGTCCTGTGGCTGGCCACAGTGACAGGCAAATCCGAAACCGGATGCCGCCATTCATATATATATATATATATATATATATATATATATATATAAACTTAACACTTATGTCACAGCAGGCAAGGTTCGCAACAGCTCCACCATTGAGTGCAATCGTGGACCATATCCGATAAGATTTCCAACGAAGTGAGCTCACGGTCCTCGAGTCTTCAACCCTGGCTCTACCAAGGAGAGTTATCCCAGACAATTAGCGCATTCTATTCGGCTACATTTTCGAAGACATGCAGAGTATCCACTACACTCAAACATTCGTGTGACTTGTGTGGTTCAACTCTATTTGAGGAAGGTTGTTAATTCACAGGAGATGATTGGTGTCGCACTTCAGTTTGGAGCAAAACACATGTGTTCTTCGCCATGGTGCAGCATTAAAACCTCCGAACTTCGCTTTATGAATGCGGTATCATCTTGCCTCTAAATTGCTTGCGTTTTTTATGTGGTGTGCGATTTAAACAAGTGCACACTTCAGTTTGCATTTTCTAAACCTGCGAGTTTAGACAGAGGGCCTTGTTGCCTTTCCTCTGTTTGCGAAAGGCTTACTCCACCGGCAAGCAAACACCGAATTTCGATCTGCGACCGATATCAGTGAATGTGATACCTTTCCGTACGTGCCATTTGTTAGTCTCTTCTGCTTATGTCTGGTTTTTCAGTTTATTTGCCTCCGATGTGAAACGGTATCTGGCACTTAATGTAGGTCAATCATTCTTCGAGCATCAACGCTAAAATACGTGCCATTTTTCTTCGGCTCAGTGTAATGACATTAGGCTTTAACACAGGCCTAAGTACGGTTGTGGCATTACGGTTGCGAATCTGTTCCGAAGAATTTATTTTGTGACATATGTAAGTTGCAGCATCAGTCATGCTGGTTGCCTATCATACGGGCAGGCTGAACGGATTTGGGCCGACCGTCTGGAAGCTTCTCGATCGCCGCCAGTCAAGCAACAACGCCCACGCATATGAGCAAGAATTGTAAGTCCGCAGGGCCAATTGGCTCGATCAATGAATACGCTAAGTTTCAGCCATCCCACCAAGGAAGAGCGAATCGAAATCGCTCAACGGTGTGCAGTTTCTCCTATGAATGCGATTTTGCTTTCAGATCAAATAGATTTTTGATCGAGACGCAACTTTTGGTTTTTGATTCACGGAGTGACATAAGACAACACATGTGTGGCAGAAGTGGCTCGCTTACGAATGTTCTTTTACATGAAATTCTTTTGATAGGTACCGAAAACGTTCCATCTTCCGTGTCGTCCCCTACACGTATAGTTCAGGGGCTGATGCGTTTGACTACTCGACCCACGTTCTCAGGAGGCTGTTTTTCCGCTAGACTTGTGCACATCTACTCCCTTTTCTACCTCGTTCAACAACCGCTATGTTCAATCCGGAAGTTGGCACAATCAAATGCGTTATTCGAAGTATGGAGTTCCTAGTGTTACCTTAAATCGAACTGTAAGAAGCCGCATGTTGTAAGTTGGTATCATTTCATGCTCTTAGTTCACTTGCAAACGAGCTACATATCAAGTGGTAACGTGACAAAATATCAATAAGTTGAAGCCGGCAGGTCATGCAAGAGAAGTAAACGGTGACTACAAGTTGACGTTGTATCACGAACTCCAAGGGAGTTTGGGAGTAGCAAACAGTCGCTTCTGGATGCAGAGGGTTGAATGGTGCTTGTTTATGGCTGATGCTTCGACAATCTTGAGGGCTATGACGTTTATGTTACCATATGTGACAGTAAACGCCGAGTCTGAATCGACCTGATGACCCGTTTCAATCAGATGTTTCGCAATCGTATTTTGTTCGTCGACACAATGAACCCACTAGGTTCCCGTTTCTGTTGGTCACTTTTCCATTTTCCGACTATCTGAGATTGACCAAGTTGTCTACATTGCACACCCATTTTCAGGATCCCCAGTGGATTTGATGGCACGGAATATCGTATGTGCAGGCACCCCAGAGTTGGCGAAAGCCGTTTGTTCAATCATCCAACCCATCCATTATGTCCACGATTAACCGTCATCCTTCTCTGGACCAGCACCTTTTTGAAGCCTTTTCTGTCCTTTTATATTTTGCTTTTGAAAAACGAATAACTGCCACTCTACACTTTTCTACCACTCGCTCATGCCTCAGTCTAAGCTGAAACACCGTCGTTGGCGGTGAACGCATTATTTTGCGGGTGAGCTCAGTCCGTCGGCATCCTTCGCTCAACCGATGATTTGTACTTTCTCTTCTCACTTTTCCTCCCTCTGATCTTCAACAATCTATCCTTGCAAATTGACTGATGCCCTGAACCTCTATGAGTTTAGATTTGATTCCGTTTGTTTTGTTTTATCTAATGTGGGTGGATGGGAAGATCACAAGCCCTAGACGCCTTGATTGCATTGTTTGCTTGCCACAGTAACACACTGGGATAAACTAGATATCACATAGAATCCAACTCTGGTTTTAACAATGGTCCAGCAAGGCAGATATAGACCTTTCCACCTCACGTGACAGTAACTGCTGTAACATTCGTTGCTCTTCACCGAAGTGTCGCTCCTTTTCAAACATGACGGAGATGAACTCATCGCTGATGAGCGTAAATTTGGAAATTTCCCTGACTCTTGAATTCGGCGTCAATGATTTTTACTTGTTTTAATGTGTAAAACGAATTACAACCTTTTGAATAAAAGGTAAGGGACGATTTCTCGACGGGATTAATAACATTGTCTATTCATAACTAAAGTCGAGTTACTGCTAAACTCACCAGCTTGAAAAGACCTGTCTGTCTTTCATAGATACATGATCGCATTAGCACCTACCATGAAACCGTGCGTTACATGCTGACAGGCAACGAGACATCGAATTACCGAAGAAGACTGTATGAAACTTAGTGTGTTGCATTATCTCTATTTGCAGACAAGTCCAAACCCAGTGTACCTCTCATTACAGGAAGTGGATTTCCACTGAACGGCCATTGTGTAATAGTGTAGAACATTGTAGAGCAGATAGCTTATGTGCTTGCGTGGGCCAGAAGAATAATAGGATCTCTCATTGCATCTTGACCAAAAAAACACCGAGAGGTGATTGTTGCCTCAATAACTGCATCGGGGACTGCCTCCAGCACTGCCATGTCAAGCTAGATTTTAACTACCCGGATGAGCGTATTCCAGAATTTCACACCATTGGTTGCAAAATAATAACACTTAAATGGAAAATTGTATAAATGCGTAAAAGCATACAGATGTCACTCCACTACAAGATCACACATCACCTCGATCATTTTGCTTGGATGGATAAATGAACACTATATGTGCCGCAATACAATTATGATGCGAGTAAATGAAACTCTGAATCTAATACATGTCAAGAAAAGAGATATGCCTTCTGGTAAACATCGACCAAACCTCATGCATACGGGAATAATAACTAGATACTCCAGCTTAGCGGTTCTCATCCTTTATGAGGTTGTTACCCCCGAAGCCGGTTCAATATAAACAACTACGCTCCAAAAATTTTAGTTTAAATACTTATTAGCTACTACATTTTTGCTTTTAATTACTGCAAACGTACACTATTTTTCGTTACTTTCGAGCTCTCAAATAAAGTAAATATCTGTTTTTGAACAATTTTAAATAGTCAAGAATTGATGTGCGTTAACGAGATGGTTGGTTTTGCTTAATTCCAACAATTCCTGGTATATTTGGTGCAGTTTCGGCTAATGCACTTCGGAGGTCGTGCTCCAAGTTCCTTCGGTTCCTTGTTTTGGAGTATGATGTCAGTGGCTCCTAGTTTATTTCGACCATCCCTTCCAAGTCCGTTCTGGATGACACGTCCTCACCACTACGTTGTTATGATACGTCCTAAACACTAATCGCCTGCTTTGTCCCTTCTACGTTGTAAACATTCGCTCGCTCCGTTGCGTGGTCTGCTTACCTACGCTCCCACTTTAATGTTCCCGCAGCTCTGTAATTCGACCTGGTGAACGAGTGCATGACTTGAAAGAACAAATATCGACGAGTGAACCGATAGAGACGTCATCTAGCTGCGTTGCTTTACATGCTTGTATCCGTATTTTGAGTTACAAAATTTATTACCGAAAATTACCTAATCCTCTGGTCAGTCACTGATGGCTACTAAATAGTGGCTGCGTATTTCGTTATATGTTCTGATGCAAATGATTGTATTGTTAATTTGGTTTGGCGGCAGATTGGAGACCCAAGCTTCTTACTTATATTCGCCCTCGTAAAATTCCATCTTACCCCCTTGGGAGTAATTACCCACAGATTGAGAATCACTACTCTAGATGATCCGCTGCGTCTGAAAATGGGATTGACCGATGATGCAAGTTAGATAGTCTTTTTGAGAAAGTCCGGGGAACATGACCAGGAGAAAGTACAGTCGACGAGGGATACTACAAAGGGTCGCCAGTCTGAAATTCAACTGACTGGAGACGTTTTGAGGCGACAGTCTTTGGAATCGTATCTCCTTTTTCAATTTACAAAGTACTTCGCTAACATCCGCGGACCAGGATAATAGTTGGAATAAATAGATACCTGGATATGTAGATAAATACATCGTACATTTCTCGAATTTGCAGGCATGGTCAGATCCAAACTATTACGGATATTCGGCTCTGAATGAAATAGGCGTGCGTCGTTCCAACACGTGCGGTGAAACGGAGGCATATAAGACCACTTACAACTTTTTTAGCTCAAAAAGAGGAAAATGTCACTTCACAGCATTTGACATTGTTGATGGTAAGGAACGGGGACGAAAACAACACAGCAAACTTCATATTATCCTGACTGAAACGTTTAAGGCATCTCAACACGAGAATCAATATGAGTATGTGTGTAGCCAAGCAATGTGAATGGTAACGGGATTTCCCAATACATGAAGAAAAAATGGAGAGATGCTAGATTCTGGCGAAGCACGACGGTCAACCGGAAACGTGGAGGGCTTCTTCTTATTTAGTTTGTAGATGTGCGTTTACTGGTAGTGCTAACGTTCAATTTTTAAAGAGATATACAAAAATATACCCACGATTTGGAAAACACTCATTCATCAAGCTGCATACAATTTGGTAGACGCCATTTTAATGTAAATCTCGGCCAAGATAAACTTTCTGAGCCTTTTTGAAAGTTTTTGAGCAGTTATGGAAACAGAAACCGGAACACCCTACATATTTTATCTAGTACAAATGTAATAAAATGCGCACTCTTCTGCGTTCCGCATAGATCCTTGTAATCTGTAGGCATCCTGATATGCGTCGTCTGATGTAGTAAAAACCCAAAGGACAGGTATTTTCTTGGAGGTTTTTTGATCAAAGTCGGCAATCAAGTGAACTGTACTTATTTGACATCTTCTTAGGTCCAGAGTTAACGTAACGGGTTTCCATCTGTCGATGTTAATACGTTTCGTCAAACGAAGGCCGAACTATTGAACAGCCGATCCCAAAGCGTCAAGTCCGCTAACGTTAACACACTTTAATGTTCCCGTTAAGCATAGACATGACTAAGGGTAACTTTAGGATATGGAAAGTGTACAAATATGGAATAATAAAACGATAGTTATTGTGTAAGGAAACGGATATGTTGCTGAAGACAACTGGTTGTAAGGTGACGCTACGCGGGCCTGCTATCGACTTCCATATGCGCCCGGCGAAAGTTAAGAATCCCTATCGTGATGCTGGATGTCCTTCATCGCACAGCCATTGTAGCGAGAAATATAAAATAAACTATGACAGTAGCCTGGGTTTCAGAGGATATATTTGGCGAAGAATAAGATACTTTTTAACTTAATCACTGACATCCAGAAGTAGTCTAATGAAGTTTAGACCACCACCGACTTCTCGGGTACGCAATGCGCAACCCGATATCACCTTTAATGCAGCCACTTCTTATAAAACAAAAACTAACTGTGGACAATGCCCACAATTATCGTTGGTTTGCAGTCCTACAAGAAGCGTAAGCAAGCCAGCGTAGACAGTCTGATCACAGCAGGCGGTTCATTAAGACATCAGCAAGACCGTTGTCAAATGTCAGCTAGCAAACGATGTTGTCTCCAGATACGAGAATTCTTTAGTATGCACCATCTTAAAAAAGCAGTCAGTCTTCAGCCTATATTTTCGACATTTTTCAAGACGCTGGCACTACGGCTTTGTGTCAGCTGCTCCGGACACATGAACTAGTGCGTCACTGACCGATCGGGGAGTTGAAACTTATACTGACGTTACCGATATGTGCATTAATCTGTTTGGCGACTTGGTCACTATACCTTCGGCAACTACTTTCGTTAGTAAATTCGTCAACCACTTCCATTTGTCCTTCGATACTGTTGAGGCCCAGTGATATAGCAGTACTGTGTAAATGCAGAACCCTGACATGTTCGTTGGAAGCCCATTCAACATCAATTGCTCCCAAGCGGGCTCTGATCCCAAATGAACCACAGTTCCGCGCTTCCCATACATTTCGATATGCCGCCGGATTAAACCCTCACCACGAATAAAGTTGACAATACACAGTTCGTAACGCGTATACTTTTACAAAAATGATGATAATGAGTAGCTCCGACTCAATGAACTTCCCATAGGGTATCCAGAAAATCATCCTGTAAAACCATCGCATAATCGCTGGAATTACAATGAAAATTATGCGTGCGAATGGAATTCGTCTATCACATTTCATCAATGTGTCGCATCGATAGGCTGAGACCACTACGGTTTTATTACCATCTCGCACCATACTGTCATGGTACCGATGAGGCTTAAGCATCTGGTCAAAACGCATGTCTATTTGAAGCAAACATCGATCTGCTTTTCCACTTTATTTGGACGAGCTACCTTAGATCGGGTCAGGGAGTACGAATGAAACGGTTGACATCTGGTTACTTCGTATTTGGCGTCCAGCCGCTCTTGCTACTTATAAGCATGCTTGTAAACAAAACTACAGTTGTCAGATTGAATTGAGCCCCATTTGATAACACGGGTAGACTTTGTTTGGCTTGCCGCCTGTTGGATAGCTCAAGACTCGAAAGGAATGCAGCAGTCTACCTGGCCACGGGAATTGTAGTCACTACATTCTCAGCTTAGCACGGTTGGTACATCTTGGCTCTCAGGTTGGAGCCCACGCGGCCTACCCTTTGCTTGATTCGAAACTGCAGGACACTGCTCGGATGCTGCACCGATGACACGTCTGCTGTCGTCCCGTAGTCAGACTACCCGTTCAAAATGTGTATGGTATTAAGTTAGTTACGAGGCAGTAAACGCCTCATAGGGAGCTGTTATGCCGAGGATATTTTATTAGCGCGCGATAACGAGCTGTCTGTGACCATGCATGTTGACAAGGTGTGGGCTCCTTGGTTCCGAACATTTGCTTGACATTGTTAAGTTTTACACCACCTGATCTCGAGTTCGTGTTTCGACCATGTGTCAATCAATGACACTACCCGGCATTGATCAGTACACTATCGTTCGTGATGAGACCGCGCAACCCCACCAGAACAAACGTGACCTTACGTGTGGTTCAAAAGTTCT